TTAATACGATTTCGAAATGGCAATTGGTTAGGCTGATATGATCGATAATGTAAAAACGCAAAATTACGCGTAGATGACGTCACACATGACTGAGCGCGTTGAAAAGCTTACCATGACTATTCCAGACCAAGCTAAATGTTCGCTGACAGCGATTGTGCGTCAACTCGTGGTATTTTTTGAGATATCGTGCGAACAGAAAAGGGGGAGAAAGAAAGAAGAATAAGAAAGTTGAAGATGATTCCGTACAATAACAATAGGTGATCCGCTAACGTTAGCGGATCACCAAAAAGATGATGATGATGATCCTGACAATAACAAGAGGTGATCCGCTAGTGTAGCGGATCACCAATTAAGATAATAAATATGCACCTTAAGGAAATAAATATATCGATAATAATCTAAAACTAGATTTGAACTCGTCACTGAGGACGAGTTAGGTGATCCGCCGCACTTTGACTTGCGAGGAAGTGTGCGCGGTGCTGATTGAACAATATTTAGATGCTGAAAATGGCTTAAGTATACGCTAAATAATTTTTTTAAAAGAATTTGGAGTATTTTAAAAGATTTTTTCAAGCGTACGCGCACGTCATGACACACGTGCGCATGTTAATGTCACCGAATGTTGTCTCCTGATATGAGATATATATGCATAACTTCCATTGACAAACGCCTGTTGGTGAGGGGGTAATTATCATTCATAATATTTATCATATATAATTTTTTTAAAATTCAAATGGCAATATGATGACGTCACAATGTCCCATCAGCTATTATGATATATAAAATCATATCTACTGCTCATGTGTTTTCAGAATATTTAATAAAAATTGGGGTCACCTTTCATCCTAAGGAACAATAACTGATTAAAAAAAGACATGATATAAAGCATATTTTAATTTTGACGCACGCGAACGCTCGCATTATTACGCGTGCACAAAAATATAAGGTACATAACATTACATATTGATCATTCTAAGTTATTAGGAACTAAGGAACTTAAAACATTAAACAATGTATGTCAAATGGAGTCCCATTAAATTAGGTATTAACTGTAGTAAGTAACATTAATTCTCTTCTAAATATGCATCAAAACAGACACATAGATTGTTTATAAAAAACAATATGTACATTATATACTTCTTATTGGCCCTTCCTGCAATTTGGTTAGTGCTCAACGACGCTTTCTCTTGCTTCAAAGCCATGTAGACTGAAAGCGCTTCCGGCGTTCCATATCTAATCTATCACGTCATCTACGAATTCTTATTTTATTTCATACGCAGCGTGAATGTTGTTTGTAAAGGTTATCATTTTAAGTGAAATAATTAGTACTAAGTGTTTTCTAGCATTTTCAGAGGGTATTACGTGTGTTGTAAGTATCTCCATAATAAAACCACATTTTAGAACAACATGAATGGGCAAACTTCAGACTGTGTATAATTCTTAGGTGAAGGCATCCTTTTATTTCTACAAGAAACAGCTAGCGTAAGCGTAAACCGAAGGTTTTAGTTTCCACTCAATGAGTTTCCCTGGTTCTCTAACAGGTATTTTTGGGTCCTACACAGTATTATATCATGCCCGAACGTAATGATTGACGTTATAAACATTTTGAGAGAGAACAATATAAACTATTTCAGTTGAAGTATTTGCACTGACCTTTCTAGGGTTTGTTTCTGAAATACGTTTCACAAGTGATGTGTATTATTTTGATACGCTAGGTCTGGGGTGGGGGTGGGGCGTAGCGTAGGATATGCATTTAAAAACAAGTTGAAATTCAAAGTTTAAACTTATTCGTTAGATAGTTTTCCATAAGAACGGTTAAGTGTAAAGTGAAGATAGCCTGTCAGTGCCATAGCAAATGTATTTTGCTAGACCTAGGCCTTTAACTGTTATCGCTTAATCTAAGCCTTGCTTAAGCAGGATGGCTGACATACAGTAGGCATACTTTAGGCTGGGCCGAATTAGCTTAGACAAAAGCTGTGGATGGTTTGGCGCTGATTGGTCTAAAACATTGCAAGTATAATTAGTCTGTCAATTAATATATAACACTGAATGATGTTCATGTATTTTTTTGTATTTCAGATTACACAATTGAATTTGTGAGGTGAGGTGTTTTGCTGAAAGTGGTCAGTAATCTGCTCTAAAATATAATATGATTGAAAAAAATGAAATATGAAACAAATCAAAGTCTTCAATTCTAATTAATAGATATACTCAAAGATTATAAATAGAACAAGAGAGCAAAGTCCCGTTCGTAAAAACGTCATGCCTGTGTAGGACGCCAACTAACGGTTGTATATTCTTTTTATTACCCAGTGCAGCGCTGCGCAGCGCGGTAGAAGTACGCCCGCTATAAACTCAGTAAGCAGAAAACAAAAGCACAGTATTTTGTGGAGAACAGATAAACAGACAAACCTACAGTGCGCGGTGCAGTACTGGGTAATAAAACATATACAAGCGTTAGTTGGCGTCCTACACTAGCTGCGTAGAGCGTATCGTTTTTTACGCTCCCAAAGAGCGTTGTTGGCTCTCTTGTTCTATTTATACTCTTTGATATACTGTAAGAGAATAATAGCATGCCAATACACAGTGTCTTTGTTGGTTAAATATTGCAAACTGCCAACGCATCAAATTCAGTGATCAATTTATATCAGTGAAATATGCAAGCAAAATGATATGAAGTGAGAACACTGTAATATCAATTATGAAAGATTAGTTGCTCATATGAAAAGTGAAATGCTAGCCAAATTTAATGCTTACATTAGTGAGTAGTTGTGTCAATCATAGTTTTTGAAAAGTTTTCTTTCAATATTGTTAAACTGTGAGTAGGTTATCTTGTGGGCCTCATATTATAAGGTCTATGGGGGTTTCTTGGAGGTTGTCTCTTTATGTCATTATTAATTTTATTGCTATTGTACTTGTTTTTGTGGTTTCGATGAATAAATGAAATAAAGTAAAGATAGAGTTTTTGTGGAGTACAACAGTCACCAAATCTGTTGAAAATAACAGTGCTATCAATAGCATGAGTTTCACTTAAACATTCATAGTCTTGAATTTTTAGTAATTGTGTAATTTTCTTGATTGCAAGCCACATAATTGACTTCTTTTTTTTTCTCTCTTTCTCTGTAGGTATCTGGCTGTTGGAATTTTATGTCTTTCAAATTTTCATTTTCATTCAACTTGTTATACATTTCACCTTCATTTGTTTCACCATCATCTCTTTTGTCGATTTCATTTCAGTTCAGATAAAAGAAAAGAAAAAGAAAAGAAAAAGAAAAGAAAAAGAAAAGAAAAGAAGAAGAAAAGGAAAATAAGTTGAATATACAAAGAAAAGAAAAGAAAGAAATAATTGAATTTAGAAAGGGAGAATCCCTTTGAAGAATATATTGAATTTACAAAGAGAGAATCTCTTTGAAGAATATAGCCGTAACACTTTCGAAAGAAAGAATTTTCAAAGAAATAATATATTGAATTTACAAAGAGAGAATCTCTTTGAAGAATATAGCCGTAACACTTTCGAAAGAAAGAATTTTCAAAGAAAGAATTTCATGAATATACAAAGAATTGAACATAACAGAGAATTGAATTTACAAAGAATATAAATTTACAAAGAAACAACATAAAGGAAATTGATACATTAACAAATCACTACATACAAGACAACAAATTCTCATTTGCAAAAGCAAACTTCAAACAAAATCTGAAATCTCTATTGACAGGAAACTAAAGGAAGGACGAACAGAGAAGAAATTACTAACAGGGATTCTTTTGCAAAAGTAAGTACAGAGCAGAAGCTTGAATCTCTGTATTGATTGAGTGTACAGTACGTTTATTCTGAAAAGAAATTAAGTGTGGTATAAACAGTGTGTAGTGTGTCGTCTTGAGATATCATTTTAATGCGTATCTTGTAAATTTTTACATTCCTGATTTTGAATTATACAGTATTTCAAAACTAATATTAATTGGCATTTTAAATATCAAACAGGAATATATAGATATCAAACAGAAATCAGTATTTGAAAGAAATTTTAAAAGGGGAATTTGTGTGCCTATAAAATATATTTAAAATTTGTAAGCTTTTTGAAAATAGGAATTTTTCATAATGGATACAATTGAATTTAAAAAAGTAGTTGGTGAAATCATAGATATACTTTGTGCTTGCACATCAGCTATCACTTCTTCAGAGCACAATGAATGTTGTTTATGTAACAATGAGATCAGAGAGGATGAAAGTAATAAAACATGCGAGTCGTGTAGTAACCATTTCCATGTTGCATGTATGGGATTCGTTAGTGAGGACAAACTAATTAATACGAGACTAATCTGGATTTGTTCATCCTGTGGGAATAAGAACATCGCTCATCGCATGTTTGATACGTTAGACATCCCTTGTCATTTCAATATATACAAGCTCCTTGAAAGAGAATTTGATACTGACCTGCTGCAATCAACAAAGAACAGCAGAAGGAAATTTGGCAGAAGAAAGAAGAGGTACATAAAAAAGAAGAAAACTAATTTAAAAAACAAATCCAGGAAATGTAGCAACAACAAAGATAGTACTAATTTTCCAGTTAAGAAAAATTGTTTGAAAACAAAGTTGCAACAAATAGAAAGTGAAGAATTGGATAATGAATGGGTAAAAGTAAAATCAAAGAAGAAACAACTGGAAACTGAAATAGTTTATTTAAAGTCAAAAAATGAGCATGGAGGAGATGAGAAGTTCACAAGAGAGACAGTAAATTGTGTAATTCTAGAACAATTGCCAACAAATGGAGTACATCAACTGTGTGGTGGTGGTGTCAATTCACAATGTTCAAGAAACAAGAAAGGTCGTTTTGTCAAGAGCAAGAAAAATCCTACCGAGAAAAAATCACAGAAAGATGAAGGGAAATCAAAAAGTGACAAAAGTGTTCAAATTGAAACTGCAAAGAGTAGTGAAAATTCCAGTAATCTGAAAATGGGCAGCAATAAATATTCCAAAGTGAAAACTGATGAAGACTTTAAAATGGAATGTAGTGAGAAAGACAACAGTAAAAATGCAGGTGATATAAAAGTGTTCAACAGTAACAGCAAAGTGAATGAAAGTAGCACAACAATAAATACTCCTACTGATGTGTCGCATCCTGAACATAATGCATGTGCAAGCTGTGAATTCAAAAAAGATGATCTGAATAGTAAAACAGCAGTTTCTTTAATTGATGAACAAAATACATCAAGTGCAACAATGAGGCTTAATATTTCTACTAGTACACCTAAAAATGACTTATATACTAATAATGCAGATATAACTTCATCAAGTGCAAACAATATATGTAATGAGTGTCTTAAACCATCAGACAATTTTCAGTCTGACTTTATCAAAAGTTTAGAGAAAGATAATGAAAAAAGTTTTGTCAGTGCATGTACGAAGATCAAATGTATTGCACAAGGTAATTTTAATCAAGGTCATTATAGATTTGGCAGTGCAAGTGGTAAACAGTGTGTTGCAAATAGTCTTGTAGCTATCCTTTATTCAACAAAGAGGTATGGAAATAAATTTTACACAAAGGATCTTGACACAATATTGAGTCTTGGAAATCAGTTGTATTACTACATTCAGAAAGATTCCACTATGCATGAAGACCTTTTGATGGTTTCTGAATTACCCAAAGAATTGGATATTTTGAATGACAGATTTGAAATAATTTACAGTGAGCCAAAGTTTGGCATTATAGATGGAAATCCAGAATGTATGGCTGAATGTGGAGCTTTGTCATTAAACCAGGCTCTTGAACAACAGTTGCATCAACATCATGCATGTTTCATGAATTTTAATGAAAGTACATTTGCTATTATTAAGTGTCCAACAGGTTTTCTCATTTTTGACCCACATGGAAGAGATAAATATGGCTGTGTCAGTGAGGATGGAAAGAGTATCCTACTTTACACGCCATCCTGGCAAGGTATATACAGTCACTGCATCAGATTAGCAAAATCAATGACTTGTCATCTAAATAAAACTCAGTTTGAGCTAACTGGTGTGAATGTTCAGAGTAAGGCTGATATGGTTTTGTGTGCAATTTCTTGTAACACATCAAACGATCATTCCAAAAATGAAAATGTGTCGGAGATAGCAGTTTCTTATAATTTTGATCCATCTGCAGATGTAGATGTACCAAGTACTTCAAAGTGTCCATCATGCACAATATCACATGACAAGAAGATTGATTATGAATTTGAAGGAAATATTGAAGGTACATATATTTTTGAACATGCTGAAGGTTCAGATAGTGATAGAAGTCAATCTGAAGACTGCATAGAAATTGTTGATATCGATTATGGTGAAAGACCTGACAAACACTTCAAATTTGTTCCTCTCTTTGAAAAAGAAAAAGTAAACATTTGTAGTAAATTAGGTATTAATTATCCTAATAGAAATTGCAGTGCTGCTTTACACAGAGACAGACGCATTGGACATCCAGCAAAAATAAAACGTGTTACTGGTGATGGCAATTGTTTTTATCGTGCTATATCATATGTTATTTCTGGGACTGAAAATAATCATTTAATTCTGAGAAAAGCAACTGCTAATCATTTACTGGAAACCGATAATTTATTTAGTAATACATTAAGTCATGAATTCAAAACAGTTCAAGAATATGTGTGGAAAAAAAGGGTAATGGATAATGGAACATGGGCTTCTAATACTGAAATAAGTGCCATGGCAAACTTGCTTGATACAGATATTTACTCATTTAATGATCAGATTTTGGCTTGGCAAATGTATTCTGCCAAAAATCCAGGAAGAATAAATAATGTCACAACTGAGAGAGGCATTTACATTCTATACACTCAGAATGTACATTTCGATGTAGTAGAATCTGTCGATGTCAATTTAAATTATGTTGAGGAAACAAAGACAATTTGTGTGGATACCTCAACAGAAACAAGTATGCCAAATGTAGGTGATACCTATATGAAAGAACCGTCTATGAACCATGCCCAAAAACGGAAACTAACAAGAAAAGAAACAAATCATGAAATAAGTACTTCTAATCAATCACTTGAAGACATTACAGAACCAAACCAGAAAGAGTGTAAAACTATTACAGAACTTAGTTCTATAAACGAAGTAAAACTATTGAGACGAAAGAAGAAAACATCTCAATTAAATAGAAGACAAAAAGCAAAAATGCGAATGAGAATAAAACGTTCAATTGAAAATGCAAAGAATGTAGAATATGAAAACTGGCAAAGAGTAGGAGATAATTGTTGTATTTCATCTAAATCAAGGAGAGCAGATGTAAAGAGAAAAAAATATCAAAGTGATCCTGTATACAGAGAAGAAAAGAAACGTAAAGTAAAAGAAGGACAAAAAATAAGATATATTAATGATGTTTATAAATGTCAAAAGAAAAGGGAAAACAGAGAAAGACAACAGAAAATGTATAGAAGTAAACCTGAATTTAATCTTTGTGTACGAAATAAAATGAGAAAAAAATACAAAATTAATTTTGAATACCGAACCACCAAAAAAGCAAAAATTTTGCAAAACTACAAATTAAATGAGAAATTTAGGCATAATTTAAAGGAACAAATGAAAAATAGGTATCGTGGTGATTCAAAATTCAGACAAGATTGTAAGCGAAAGTTTACAGAGAAGTATCGTGGGGATTCAAAATTCAGCCAAGATCATAGACAAAGATTTACAGAGAAATATCATGGTGATTCTAAATTCAGAAAAGATTGTAAGCTAAGGTTTACAAAGAAGTATCAAAGTGATCCAGTGTTCAAGAAAAATGTTGAAAAGAAAAACCTGAAGCGTCGTAAAATAAGAAAAGCAGAAAAGAGCAATTTTGAGTTTGTCTTAAAAGACTTTAGGAAAACAATTTCGTATGGTCCTAATTATGTTTGTTGTGTATGCTTTAAGTTGTTATTCAGAAATCAAGTGTTCATGTGCACAAAAGCTAAGTATGCAAATAAGACATGTATAAATGAAAAGTATTTGCATGTTTGCAACAATGAATGTAATAAACATTGTGAACTTGCTGAATCACCAAGATGTTATTTATGGATTTGTTTCACATGCCACAGGAAATTGCTGAATGGAAAAGTCCCTGCAGAAGCCAACACAAACAATTTACAAGTACACGATATTCCTACTGAACTTAAATGTTTAAATAATTTGGAGCAGCATTTGATTGCACTAAATATTCCCTTTATGAAATTAATGAATTTACCCAAAGGTGGTCAGCATGGGATACATGGACCAGTTGTATGTGTACCATCTAATACGATTGAAACTGTAAAAATGTTGCCTAGACCAAAGGCTGATGATCAATTGATATCTGTGAAATTGAAGCGAAAGTTGTCGTACAAAGGTTATTATGAATACAAATTTGTCAAAACAGCAAATGTTATTCAAGCGCTTAAATATTTACAAAATAATAACAAGTGGTATTCTGATGTAGATATCAATGAAGAATGGAACAATTATTTATCTGAAGAAAACATTGAAGGTGAAACTGCTAATGCAGATGATCAAACATTTTTAAAAAACAATGAACAAGTAGGTGTAGAAAAAAATGAAGAGGTAGGCGTAGAAAACAATGAAGAGGTAAATGTAGAAAATAATGAAGAAGTAGTAGAAGAGAGATTGTGTGGTATTGTCTTTGACACAAGTCTT